CCGACGCTTTTCGTTATATTCCGTAGATTTCTCCGGGAATACGTGAAAACAAATGTAGGTATTATATTTTTTCATACTTTGCTACCGCGCCTCTTGATGCATACACGGTGTATCGAGAGCATGCGCATATTGAAAATTATGTGAAGACATTAAATGAAATCGGCTCGCGAAATCTGCAGCTCGAGGCGCGGTCGACTTTGCTGATGTATTACGATCGAGCATTGACTTTCGGAGTATTATATTATCTGCCCACGATCGTACGCGCGAGTTGTAAAATTGATCGCGAGTATCGCGGCAGACAGACGATGGCGTGCACGAAGGAGGCGCGCAAGCCACTATATGTATAAGTATGAGCAACAATCCTTAAATAATGACACACGAAGGAGGCGCGCATACACATAAAGTCGTCTTATAAACAGCTCCGAAGAAGAACTTAATTACTCGGCTCTCGGGGCCTTTGCTGCTGCTGCTGCTGCTGCCTTCGTTTTTCTCTCTACTTTTTTCTTTCTATCTCCACTCACGCGATCCTACTCATCAGTCCGGAAACTCTTTATAGAGCCTGCACGTATATGGCCATGCCCATGGCCTTCGCACCGATGTCGAACTGCATACACCGAGCTTATGTAGAGGAGAATATAGCACGTCAATGCACTAGCTCGAACTTGAATGACTTTTTCTCTGATATGGCTCGATTGGCACTGGCAGGAAATGTAAGCGTTATAATCTTCTTATTCGCAGATGTGCGCGGCTTCATATTTTAGAGCTTCGAGTCACGCCAGACTCGATGATCGATGCACCGATAAGATTTTGAGCAATAATTATTATACACATATATCGTATCGTTTCTGCCGAGAAATGGAAATTGTCGGATGTGTATAAGTAGTTGTTACTTAGTGGAGTGCGATTTATTCGTAAAAAAACGAGTGCCACGAACGAGGAGAACAAAAAAATGGTTAACTTTATTACCAGGGAATGTGCGCGTGCGAGCTGCTGCGGCGGCGGCGCATAATTGTTTAACCGATCGACGATTATCATTCCACAAATCGAAACTACTGTTCGCTTCCTTTTTTTTTATCGGCACGTGTGTAATTGCCCGAACGACTATAAGCGCGTCGATCAGCTGCTGCTGTTGCGAGAGCTAAAAACTCGACAATTATCGGTGCGTGTACTCGCACAATTCGATCGAATAAAAAGCTGTCGACGCAGTGACAGTGTGAAATCAAGATGTCAAAGCCCATAGAGAGTCGAATGCGGTAAAACGATCGAGTTTTTTACAATCAAGAAGCTTTCGCCAATAGTATTTTACTACTGAATTCTTTTTTTTATTAGTATTCGTATTGCGTTGCACAGCACGTTTGGCTCGTAATTTTTACTATTTTAAGACTTGATCGACTTTGCACAATATCTTTCGCAAAGGCGAAAATGTTGTATACCTAGAATAAAAGAATACATCGTAGCCTCGTCGACTCTGGGCCATCCCCTCGTAATCGAAGCAGTTTCGAGTGTCCATTGTCAGAACAGGGGATATATTACGCAATCGAGAGTCACTCTCCGACTTGGCTCTCGCTCTTTTTACGCGCACAGGTCTCAGCTTGTCTTTTGCCCATTGGCATATACATTTGGCGTTGTACTTTATACGCATATAGGATAGTGTATAAGGCAACTTTGTCGAAGTAATGTGTAATATGTGCAGTAAAGCAAACCCAACGTGTGCAGATGTCGGAGGCAATGAGGCAAGTTACTTTTAACAAGACGACGCTATACACGCAAACCTTAACTCCCTGATTCTGATATCTCTGCTGCTGCTCTTGATATCCTTCTTCTTCTTTGTACCCATCCGCCGCGTGTGTGTATGCGTGTGTATATCTCGTATATATTATATTCATCCATGTCGTGTCTGTGTATGCATGCGTATTTGTGTATGTCTATATCATTCAAGCGCCCTTGAGCATCTATAAGTCAGCAAGAGCATCGCGAGCAGCCAATATCTGCTCTGATTACACGTTTCATGGTTAATATAATCGCATATACATAGATAGACGGCCTGACTCTCGAGAAGAAGTCATCCTCAAGCCGAGAGCCAAAAGCCTATTGATTTGCTAACGAGACTCTATACAACTGTGCCTTTTTGAGTATTGGAGTCGCTTGGGACTTTCTTCAACTTTGCCTGCTTTATTCGCTACCTTCGTTTTTCTCTCTCTCTCTCGTACACCGACGCTTTTTTTTTATTTTCGTTTGATAACGAAATTCAACTTGGAGAGAAATAATGCAGAAAATGCAAGGCAGCATCAGTTTGCGGAAATTAATGCGTCGAGAGGCCGATTGCGTAACACCTATATAGTGCATGCATACTGACGTTGCAGCTGCTTCGCCGTCGCCACCAAAAGAGAGAGAGAGGAGAGACGGACAAATGTATGCAATGGACTACGGCTGCTCGGTCTTTTCAAGAAACTCGTTCAGTCTGCGCTCTCGCTGCCGCGTATTGTCCCCGCCTGTCCTGAATTGCATTACGTATTATTGCTTATTGTTCGGTCTCGGCGCTCTGTGTATAGACGTTTGCGCGTCGGCACACGCCCCCGTCTCGAACTCTAAAAATACCTCGGCGAGCTGAGATTCGAAATTTAATTTTCGTAACTGCGAGCTGTAACTTTTTCTCATTTTTTAATCAATGCATTAGTTGAACTATCTGGGAGTGATAAGGTTGCGAGGTATAGAACGGAAAGTTTCCATACTCTCGAGCACGTATATGATATGCATACATTATAGATATACACGTATGCACGTATCCGAGCAAAGGAAGATGACATTTGAGAAAAGCGGAATATAAGGAGAAACGTCATCGGTCTAAGTCAGAGGTAAATGACATGGGAAATGTAATCTATGCCACCTCTCGCAAGCTCTCCCCCCGACCCCAGCGGCAGCGACTTCGACGTACCTTATATACTTCCTCCCCGCCGCAGCTAATATTCTCTCACTGTAACTTCTCAGCTTTTCCCTGCCCCGCAGACGTCCATCAGGACTTTTGCTCCGCTGCTTATACCGTCCGCACACCGACTTATATAACAGGGCCGTGTGTTGGCGCTACCACCACGAGACTCGTACACTCGTTATATCTGCGTCAATGCCACTGTAATGCGCGAGCGAGGCGCAGTTAAAAGTTGACGCGCAAGAATAGGGCGCCAAAGTCGAGCTGCTAGCGCGAGGAGCTTTTGTCGTTTTCAAATTGTGCGTAACCTACCGCCGGTATAAAATATATAATATAATATGTATAAATGTATATGTATTCGTCGACAATAGTTGCGCGAAATTAATGAAAACTCGAGAAACGTTCCGGCGTTAGGAAATCGAGGGACCAACCCTCTCTCTCTCTCTCTCTCTCTCACTCGGTTTCTCTCTCCTCCACCTATTTCAGGAGAATCGACTAATCGTGACAAATACCGATCCGAGCCGAATTATAAACTAATGCTGCGAGAGCGAGCGAGACCGCGCAAAACTTTGGGCACTCTCGAACTACGGATATGGCAAAATCGTGTTCACTTTCAGCGAGTCGAGCCTTTATAATTATCCCCGATATTTACTCATTAAGACAGACTCAAAATGAAAACTGAGCTGAGAGAGTGAGAGAGACTTTAATAATTCATATTTGCGCTTCTTTCGAGCTCTCTTCGAAGGCAGATGACTTTAATTCAATTATTAAATCTTAATTCGGAAGATGCAAATCAGCCTCATCTTTCTTTCTCGCCATTTGCGATGCTACAATTTTGAACTCTTATCGATTAATTCCATCCCAAGGAGACTCCGCGTCGAGTAGGATAATCAAACCTTTCGAGTGGTTTTCTTCGGTAAAAAGGAGGAAAATATATTCTCACCCCTCCTTCGAATGTATATAAGGTGAAATGACGTGCTCGAGTGTCTGTATGTGTGAAGAAGCAAAAAAAAACCAGCGATACTCGAGAACTCGCATTGTGCTGCCAGCACACGAGAGAAGGAAAATTGGATGATATTTGCCGCAACGATCAAGTCTTATGGGCCAATTGAACGGAGAGAAAAGTTCACGAAGGCAGCGAAAGAAACTCGGCGAGAGCTCGAAAGTGATCTTGGAAAATCGAGCTGCGTTCTTTTTTCACCCGATAACAAGTTCGTGCGGCTGCAAAAGAAGCAGCTAATATTTGAGAATTACCAAAATGAAATTACACACTGGCCTTTACACGATCGATCGGCGAATGATTTTTGTTGCGCACTCTCTCCCTTGCTTTTCCCGCCGTCATATTTACCGATTTTCCACGTGTACAAATAACGCATTAAGCCTCGGCTTGGCTCGTTCCGTTTTAGCACCAGCGGCAACCGAGTGCTTCCCGATAATGGCCCATCATAATTTCCAATCAAAAACCAAGAGAGCGTATAAGGTGTCGAGATATCTCCCTCGTGATCTCGGAGAGTACGTATATAAGAAGCCGGCAAGAGCGAGAGAGGCAAAAGTCAGCGACGGCGGAGGCGATAGTAGCATCGAGAGCCGAAAACTAAAGCATATTGGCAATAAAATACAATGGGCTTTTCCTCCGCTGAATTAGACAACGCAAGCGCACACATACGCACGCACAACACACACATACGTGCGAGCATCGAATTTCCTTCGAGCGGGAACAAATAAGGGAGGCTTACTTGTAATTGTAACGAACGAGGTCGCATTTCGCGATTAACCTGAACGATCATATTGAGTATTTTAATTAAGGGCTAGGCGTGTGCGTACACGTTGAACGAACTCGAATAACTTTGGTATATTAACACTGATACAAGAACCTTTTGGTATTTAGAACAATAACAAAATTAACTAAGAAACGTGTGTTGTCGTTGGCGGCTGTTTCCACAGTTTGTAGACGCCGCACTATGAACATCTCGAATCGCGTTTCTTCCGAAACAAGGATGACTCTTGGATAAAAGACATCAATACAGAATCTGAAATTTTCAGTCGTGAGCGAAAAAGGAAAATTTGAAAGTTATTAATCGAGCAGCAACGAACGTACTTCCAAAGACTTTTCACTAATTTCTGCAACCAATCGACCGGCTTTCTCGGTACTTTCGGCCAACTCTGAGCTTCCGCTCGAAGAAGCCTGACGGGACAAGTGAGGCCCCGCCGCACCCGACAAGATTTCCGATTGATCCAAATCCAAAGATCTCCAATCAGAGATCTGTGAGGAAACGTTGTGAACTTCGCAGGTCACGCTGTCCTTGGGATTAAAAAGGTATTTCTGCTTCTGACTAAATAACTTTTTCAGCTTTCCCGAGCTGCTGGTCATTTTGAGGGCGTTTTGAAGTTGCCGTACTAGACACTCGTACCTGCGCAAAATTGAAACAAAGGTGTGAAACGAAAAGTAATATCAATCGAGTTTTCATTAATAAAGTACCTCTGAATGGTAGAGCTTCGATTTTGTTTGAAAAAATTCACTTCTCTTTCTTTTTCCAAAAGTTTTTGTTTCAACTTTTCGATTTCCATCTCCTTGCATTCATTTTTTCGGCAAATCGAACTTATCAGCTCTGCATTTTCCTCTGATATTGTAAGACGTGCTTTTAAATTATTGATTTCTTCGGTCGAATTTTTCTCGAGGTCCCGGCGTGCATCGTCCACCTGAATAATTTCGTCTTTCATTATTCTGATCTTTTCCATCAATTTGACAACGTCTTTTCCCAAATCTTTTGCTTTTCGACTCGTATATAAATTTTCTCTCGTGATAGAATCGAGCTCTGCCTTCAAACTTAGTATATGATCGTCACGTTGTTCTAGTATTAAATTCAAATGATCTATCCTCTCTACGATTTCTGATTGATTTTCCGATTGCTCACTCAAAAGTGTTTGAAGCCTAATTTTTTCTTTGTTTATTCTGTTGAGAACATTTTCGAAGTCTGAAATTTTTTCTGACAAAATTTGTGCATTGGGAAGATCTTCTTGACACTCAAATAATCTTTTCTCAAGCTCGCACTCGCGTGATTTATGAGCCTGAAGATCTTTTTCCAATTCTTCAATTTTTGGCACGTGTTCTTTAGAACATCTTGACACTGTTCGTTCAAGTTCAGAGGTAACAATTGATAATTCACTGCTTAAATCAACAGATTTTTCCCAATAATCTTTTAAACATTTCGAAGTACGGTCTTCTTCTTCTTCGAAGACTTTTAACCTGATCTGAAATGAAAATTATTTGATAATTTATTAATTATTTGATAATAATAAAAAAATGTTTGTGTAAACATGAAGAGAAATTACCATTGACTCGCTCAATCTCAGCTCAAAATCTTTTTTTGTTTCTTCTAAAAGTTTAGCTAATTCTTCATATCTCTCTTCTAATTCTAGTTTTTCATTGGTCAATCGTTCAATTTCTAATTTGTCGTCGTTCAACTGATTTTCATACTCCAAAATAGTTTTTTCCTTAGTATTTGTATTGTCTTTTAATCTCGCCATAGATTCTTTGATATCTTCCAATTCCATAGACAGTTCAGTAACTCGCAATGCTTCTTGCAAATTTTGGGCCTTCATCTGTTTATAATCCAGCTTGAGGGCCGTAAGCTTATCTGTTATCGGCAAATTTTCCTTACTGCTATCGATAGTTTGCGAGTAATTATCTGAGACTTTGAGAGGACAGTCGATGCTCGATGCTAAGCCCGAGTCGTTTTTGCTGCTGTCGGAACTGTATCTCGTCGGCTTACTTTGCAAACGATCGATTTCGGATTCGCAAACAAAACTTTCGCTGTTGCAAATTTCATAGAACGAAGATTCCGTCGATAACGCGCCTATTTGTGATTCTATCGAATTTTCAGAATCAATCGATCCTCTGCTTACTTTTTCGAAAAATTGACGAGATTTTTGCTTTGACTCGACTTCTTTCAACTTGCTTATCAATAGATTTCTCGTCGACTCGGATTCTTGGTACTGCATTCTCAAGTGTAAAATTTCCGACGCTTGGTGTTGAATCTCTTTTTCATGAAGGCTTATCTGATTGGATTTTTCAGCACATTCAACTTCGTATTTGATCTGTTTCGTGACGTTGTCGATTATCAAATCTTTTACTCTGGATAACACTTGACTAAAATTACACGTTTTCTCCGATGTTTCATCCAACGAACTGAGTGAGTCGTCCGTTTCCGGAAGTTTGACAATACTCGGCTCCAAAAGTTCAACTATTTCGTTGTAAAAATCTTCGATTATTTCACAATCTAAATTACACTGCTGCTGAGCATTAATTTTTTCCCTCGCATCGCCTGAGCAACTTTTTTGCTCGAACGAATTCTTCAAGAAATCTAATATCGTGGCTACACTAATAACTATTTCTTCGTCGACGGGTATCTCTTGCTTTGTCTTATCCTTACAGGGACTTTCAAAGTTAATATCTTTTTTCGGTTTTTTTTGTACCGTCTTAACGATATTTGCAATTTTCCTAATACACTTTTTTAAAAGCGCCAGCTCCAATTCATTTTGATGCACCTCCTCATTCAAACGTTTATTTTCTACTTTAATTGTATTTAGCGATTTTTCCAATGAGGCTTTCGACGGAATTGGCGTACTGGTTGCACTGCTCAAGTCAATCTCTTCGGCATCATCGACATCTTCGAAATCTCCAGCGTCTACTCTCTTTCGCTTTTTTTTACAACGAGAATCAAGTCTGGCTTTATAATAATCTTCCACTCTGTCACAAGAAAATTTGACTAGATTCTCCTTTTCCTCTTCCATAATCAAAATTTGATTTTTCCAATTTTCCTCGAGACTGTCCATTTGTTTCGTATACAAGTCAGCCAATTCTTGCCGAACCTCGAACTCTCGCTTCAAGTGATCCCTCTTCATCTTTTCCATTTCATCTTTCAACAATTTGTTTTGAAGAAGCAAATCCTGATAACCTTTATCATTGATCGATCTTGAGCAGGAAAACAGAGAAGAGTCGTGACTTTTTGGCCGACAAATTTCAGGCTTAAAATCGGCCTCCCTCGTCGCCGACTTCGAGGCATCATCGATGATTCTCATAGCGACCGAAGAAAAGTTTAAAACACTCTGAGTTTCGGCTAAAAGCTCGAGAGTGGGATTCAAGTGAATCATGAAGACGACGTTTTCCCTGCCACTGATCGAATGTTGAAACAATCTCGTTAGTTTGGAATCTCTGAATGGGCCGACACTTTGTCTTGAGTGTCCTTCGGCAATAAGTTTTAAGCATCTGCCTAGAGCTAAAAGACTGGTATTTATGTTTTTCGATTCTTTCTGCTGTTTTCCATCGTTGGCTGCTTTTTGTATACGACCGGTGCCCGCAAGATCGCAGAAAGTCAGCGTATTAACCTGAATAACAAAGACTCGTCTAAACGCAAATTTCAATAAAATCCTATTACGGTTAAATTTATTTTCATCTACTCACCTGTACCTCCGATGAAGCACAGTCCTTATCGTGTCTCAGCAATTTAATCGTAAAAACCGAATGGGATCTCGAACTTTTGTAATTGGCCGCTGAGCTGGTGCTGAGCCGCGTCTGCCCAGTCGCGAGAACCTTGAACGCCTCAAAACCAGAGTTTACGCACACGTACTTGACCCCTTGAATGAAGGTGTCACCGCGTTTGTCGATGGTCAATTTCAGCTGCACATTGGCGCCTTCTTCATCGACCGCGAGCAAATCGTAGATCGTCTCGTTGTAAATCTCGACGAAAGATATCCAAATGGAGAACATGGATTCTTGAAAAACGTCGCTCGTTTCGTTCGTCTCCTCGTCTTGCAGAGTCCTGTAAGCCTCCTCCTGGCCCGGATCGATGCATCTGTCCGACAAAAGCTTCTCCTTGGAGCTGATCTCGGAGGTGCGCTCGAAGTCATTCAGACGATCGACGCTGCTGAATCGCTTCGGCTTGTACCACGGATCCAGAGTACAACTGAGCGATGAAAAAATCAGATCTATGCTCCTCGGTATTATGCCGGGCTCGGACGACGTGCCGAATAACGTGTAGGTTTTTCCAGAGTTCGACGTGCCGTAGCTGATGATCGTCGAGCTTTGATTGTTCAAGAAGTCGATGACGCTGGCCTTGACCGACTTTTCAAAACAGCACATCTGACTGGTGTCGGCCTCGAAAATTTTCGTGAACCTGAACCTCTTCGTGGCGGCGTTGTCGTGGGGTTTCGAGCTTTTGGGACGCCTCGATGCTTCGGAACCGTTGAAGGGCTTAACAAGTAGGGTCGTGTTGTCTTCCGGCGTGTAAACAGTGTTTTCGACGTTGCATCGAATGGTCGAGGAATTCGGGCGAATTCTCAAGAATACCTGCATCTTTGTCGGGGCGACGGTCAATGATTCCGACGACTGAGCTTCCCCAAGTTCGCCTTCGACATTTTTTTTATCCTCTACGTTGTCGTTGGACATTTTAAAGGTCGACAAAATAAAATTCATGACAACGTGGAGTGAAACTTCACTTTTTCTTTCTAGCTCTAAAGCAACGAACAATAATAAATAAGCTAATGAACTTGAAATTACACGATGCAGGGACTTATATTGAAATTTCAAATTTCAACAAGGAGAAATTGAACTTCTTACGATTATGAACGAATGACATATCGCACTATATTATTTTCCCAGAAGATTTTTTCCTATATCACACTAAATATAACGCGACGCGACCCAACTTTATCGAGTAATCTTGATAGGTTAACCTCTTGCAACGTGTGTACATCGCTGAATCGCGCGCCGTATCTGTAGCCGACTTTTCACCAACAGCCAACTTCAAGCAAAGGTGACTGATAGATTCAAAGTCACCCAGAGATGAAAAATAAATTGTAGGTATGGCTCTGTCATGAGAGTATGAGTAGTGCATCGTGCGAGATGAAAAAAAAAAATATCGACGAGGTCGAAATCGGAAACTCGACGCTTTATCGTTACACAAATCGTACAATCGTATTTATATGCACGCGGAAGCTGCAGTGCTCCACGCAGTGTCACGGCAGAGACGCACAGGTGGAAGTGGATCGGTATAATGGAGAAAAGGAGCAACGAGTGTGTGCGTGCGTGTATGCGTGTGCGCCATCCAACCGCCCCCGCGAGCTCGAGCGATCTTCAAAGCAGAAATGCGGCAATTTATATGCGTGTCGCTTAGCCCATTAAACGAAGCCAATCAAAGCTGAAGCTAATAGCCTCGACACTAACAGGCTGTATTACAGGGCTGTACACAGCGTTGTGCCGACGAGATTCTGCGTCTGTCTATGTGTGTGTGTGTGTGAGTGTAAAGGTGCATGTATTATTGCATCAGGAAAAGGCGATAAAGTATATATGCGTACGCACAATATACGCACACGAATACACTCTGTATTATGCAGCTCGAGAAAGCTCAAGAGAGCGAGGAAGTCCGAGTCGTCGCACCGAATAAGCTGCGCCCATTTCGGCATACATATCGAGCGGCATTAATCGGGCGCCACTGCTGACCAACATCCTGCATGGCGGTATAAGCGGCTCACTGAGTTGGGGTCTTTGTGTCGATGATGATGGACTCGCGAGACTCGTTTTTCTTTTTTTTTTGGGTCCCGTACCGACGAGACCGCCCACGCGCGTAAAACATATACATCGAACGCGACTGGACGATGATGATTCGCACAGCTTCAAAAGTTGCCGCCGCCGTCACATCGGCAGCTCTCCTCGGATGGAAGGTCGAAGCTCGCGCGCGCACCCGCGTTCGGCAGTAAATTGAAGCCGTATAATGATTAATGGACTTTTGATTGCTGTACTCGCACCGTATATCGAGGGATTATAGCAAAAAGGAATACGCGAGCTGGAAGAGGGGGTCGAGAAAGGGAAGAGAAGAGCGTACAGGGGAAGAAAAAAATAACGCAGCCCCGGTCGTTGAGTATTTACAGTGTAATAGACACATCACTTTTGATCTACGGCGCGAAAAAGCGAAGCGAGCGCATATAACTCAACTTATAGACCATAAAAAGCTCGAACGAAGGTTCACACACACATACTACACCTATACACATTGGCGAAGTAAAAGAAAGAAGAACAAGGGGCCAGTGAAGAAGAAGAAGTTTCATTCTTTCTCTCTCTCTCTCTCTTCTATACCAGCTTCTCTCTGTATATACCTCGGCCGTGTGCGCATCAAGAACCGAAGATGGGCTCGTATAAGTGACGTTAGCGCGGCGCGGTATGAAAAATAACAGCCCAACGCGCGGCCCGCGTATCGGGCGTTAATGTGCGCCAGCAGCATCAGCATCAGCAGCAGCAACAGTAGGATTGATGCTTTTCCTTTATGGCTTATTTATTTAATACTGACAAATTCGTCGGGGCTATTTTCTTAATGCACGCGCGGCTTTCTTTCTTCTCCTTGTTCTTCTTCCTTTTCTTTTCGGAGCTCTATGTATTGCAATGTAACTCGCCTTTTATTTTACTGTGGCGTACCGTGCGAAGGAATAACCAAATTGCGGTGCTTCGATTTTATTTAGTTCTGAGTTACGCTTCGAGTTTTTTACGATCGCTTAGCTGCCGATACAAATTGATCTTTTATATGCCTTTATACCGATACCGGTATGAATTCAAATTTTCAATTTTTATCGGTTTTATTAAAATCATTAAATCTATATAACGTGCGGAAAATAAATATTCTCTCCTGCTTCTCTAACTTGCAACTTTGCAAAGCAAATCGACGAAGGGAAATCATAAAAAAGTATGCTAAACATGGCAAGTTTTTGCAAGAGAGTATCTTCTATAATTCGCCGAAAATCAATTTTGCTCGAACACAAGTGGGATTTCGATGATGAAAGTCTGATAAAATGCAATGCTTGATACTTGGTTGGGCGCGCATACAGAGATGCAGTAGCAGTGAACGTTAAATTCAAAACTACATGCCTCATGCTCGATTAATAAGAACGATAATTTAAAAGCTCGGACTGAACGGAAGAAGCAAATTACGATAGAGATGACGTCTAAGATTATGCATATTGCATGGCTCGCTCACAAAAAAGAGAGAACACGATGTGTGGACGATTATACACATATAAATTTATACATCGTTTGGAGAGGAAAAATTAATCAAAATTATCGACATTGAGCTGAAATAATCAGGATGGTTCCATCGCGTCTGTACCCTTAGTCAATATCATTAATGCATACGCGCGCGATCTCGTATAGAGCAAAATTTTGACCTGCGTCAAACGAAAAAATTCATTGACTTTCCGCGATGAAAAAAGCACGCGTACGCGTATTTTTGTATCATATAATGCGTACAAGCGCGGGCGGCAAGAGAATAATGAAGCTAAATATTAATGCTTATGGCGCACGCCGAGAGCCCCGAATGAAATACTTTTCAGATTAGCCCGGGCGTATCGGGGCAAAATGTTAAATCTCATCTCGAGCAATATCAGATTTATCCATCTGTTTACCAAAAGTCTCATAAATAAAGTCCCTTTGACGTCGTCCCTCGAGTGAAACGAAAAGTGAGTGCGATGAGAGGGAGAGAGGGCGGGAGGGACGGAGATATGGATGTATATATCTATGTATTCGTGAGCAAGAGCCAAAAGCACACGATAAAATAGATATAGGTACGTCTATATGTTGCGTATAGATATATTCCGGGGCAAGAGAGAGATGGAGAGATAGAGAGAGAAAGAGCCAAGTGCCTTGGAAAAGGGAATCGATCCTATAGTCGCGCGCTCGTAGCAGCTCTCTAACGTGCAGACATCAGTATTCCCAATTAACGAGATCCTTTCATCAAACTCAGGATTCGGGCGGCTCTGGCTACAAATTGGGAAGAGGTGTGGGTGTGGGTGTGCGTACATGCGCTGGATGGAAGAAACCAAGAGAGTAAAGGATGCAGCCGAAGCAACAGCAGCAGCAACCTAAACAAGCTCCACAACGAATGTATCGAAATTATTCATTTCATCGTATATACGAAAAGCTAGAAGAGCTATACACTTGGCTGCGAGCAGCTACAAATATGCTATAGATACACGAATACGTATACGTTGAGCTATTGTAAACACAAGCCGAGCCAATTTCCGAATTAAATTTTCCCAGAAAATCCAAACGTACACGCGAGAGCAGATACAAGAGGGAAGGGAGAGATAAGAGTTCGCGGGGATAATTCATTCAAGACCGTTGAATGACTAGTGTTGGTACACAATTTAGCCCATGGGCTTGTGTTGTAGTGGTGGTAGTACAGCGGTATAGGCGGCGGGCGGTAGGAACGAGAGACGACGACGACGACGACGACGACGACGAGATAAGAGAAAAGAGAAAACGGCGACGAGATTGGAGACATAATGTATAGAAAGAGCGAGAGAGAGAGAGAGAGAGAGAGAGAGAGAGAGAATGTGGCTCTATGTACGAGCTTGCGCGCGGCGCGCGAGAACTGATCAAAGACGCTGAAAGCTTTGAGAAGGAAAATTGCTGAAAGAGAGGAACTCTCGTTGCCACAGCTATGCGTTTATATACGTGTGTGTGTGTATGTGTATACGTGTGTATAGAGACAGCAAAGAAGATTCTATATAGTATACGCCTCAGACGACTATAATGCCAACGCGAGCAGCACAGCGCGTCAAAACTAATACACACACACACACGTGTATCGCGCAAACGACGGTCTGTTATATCGGGAATTAGAGGTGTTAACGAATTACGTGGCTCAGTTTACCGACGTCACTGCTCTCGAACGAGAGAGTACAGCAAAACTTTCCACCGTCGACGACAACGATGAGGGCAATGATTGGCGCGCGCAAGCCAAGAGATAGATCGATTTTACAGCTAATCTCGAGCTCGCTTTTAATTTGCTTTAATTAATTCGATCGATTCGCTTCTATTATCCTCTGACAGTGGACGTTTACGTCGATCGCATCTGTTGGATTTACATATTACACTATGCATATTTTTCTTTCCGTTATCATGTAACTAATGAAAGGAAAAATGAAGGGAAAAAATTTGTTTTACGAACGCAGCAGTAAAACCACAATACGTATAATACTGGCAGCTATATGTACATGCGAAGCTCTTTCAGGAATTTCGCCATGAAAACCTGACGAAGAAAAGGCATAAACATGGGTCAGTAGCAGTATTGAAAGAAAAGCAATATCTCGAACGGTGTGTACAGGCTCCTCCACCATTGCTACATGGGTAGACATAGATACAGGACAGCGCTATTACAGACACTGCGGCTGCTCGTCGTAAAGTCCAATAAGGCGACACGCGCTTGGCCCAACAAAAGGTCATCGAGCAGTTCAATCACGTATACACATTTGCGCAGAGAGAGAAGCTGTATACTCGCACTCGGAGGAAACGAGTGAAAGAGAAGAGGTCGTATTATGTGACACGAAGATAGAAAGACAAGAGTCATACGCGCGACAACGACGACAGGTCATCTCGATTCGTACACGCGTCCATCCGCG